TTATCTTATCTTATCTTATCTTATCTTATCTTATCTTATCTTATCTTATCTTATCTTATCTTATCTTAATTTCATTGTGCTCTGTACAATGACAATAAAGGCATCATCAATCAATGCATGGGAGTTATTTAAGTTATTAATTTGCAAATAAATAGAAACTACATAAAAGAAAGGAAAACTCATAAAAAAGTTGCACAGCAGATGATTGCTTTTCTTAAAAAACACACAAACACAACTTGGTTTTTTCTATCCTTGTGGAGACTTTGCATTGACTTTCATTCATTTTTCAGTCATTTCCATTGCCTAACCCTGACCCATTACCATAAATCTAACCACCCAACTACATACCTGTCCCTAAATCAAGCCTAAACTAAATTCACACCTTGACCTAACTACTCCACCCAAAATCAGCATTTGTACCGTGGGAACCAGACTTTGGTCCCCACGAGGAGCACTGGATAAGGCTGTGTTTTTTCTGGAAAATGGTCCCCACTATGTAGTAAAAATGTGTCCACACACACACACACACACACTGAAATTTTATTGTACACTATTGCTACAGTTGTGATGGAGTCAGATGGGGTTGAGGGACGATGTTGTGGTAACATGGAATAGTAAAACTTTCAGGCACACATCTGTCAGATATAATAAACTCAGAAAAACATTCATTTGGTTGAATTCATTATTTTATTTTGGTCACATGAAAGAGCACTTCAACAAAACAAAAACAAACAAGAGGAAGAGGCTTGTTGTGCTTCACCTTACTGTTCCTAATGGATTCCACCAAACACAAAAAACACACATAAAAAAACCATCAAAACAGAACATCAACACTTAATATACAATACAACTTCCTATATATGAGGTAAAGTTCATATTTTTTGCTTTAATTGGTGCATTTTAAGTGTTTTTATTTATTAATTGGTCCATTTATGTGTTTCTGCTTTTATTTCTAATGATGTCAGTATTGGTCTTCCATAATCCTTTAACTCATTTGATAGTATTTAACATTTATAAGTCTCTCCTCTCGTTTTTCACACAAACACTTACACACAAACACACAGATGAAACATCTGTCTGCACCATGCCCTGCAGCGTCCCCCCCATTACTCTCTGAACCTTCCCCCACATCTGCTCTCTCACTCTGCTTTTCCGTTCTTTTTTTTATTCATGTCTGTGTTTGGTTTGTTTGCATCTGTCTGCTCCTTGTTGTTGTTGTTGAACAGACGGATTAGCTCCTCCCACCGTACCTATAATCCCTCTGCTGACCCCGCCACTCCCAGCTCCTCTCAGTTCCCATGTGGGATCAAGCATCCAGTCAGCCTGACTGACAGACAGTTGTACATGAGAGGGGAGGAAGAGAGGAACGTGGAGTGAGATAAAGTGTGTTTTTATGTGTGTGGGAGAGAGAGAGAGGAGATAAAGGAGTAGAACAGGATGATGCGAGGAAGAGATTAGTTCAGGGAGGGATAGATGCTGTTGCTGCTGTTACACGTTTTGAACTGTCCGCTTAGATTTCTAGCTTGTTTGATTTGTTTGATTTTAGGAACTTTTTTTCAATTTAAGAAAATGTTTTATAATTCTTAGACGGACCGGCAAGCTCATTGTTTTTTTTTTAAACGACCAGGGCTGCAGACGGAGAACTTGTGAGCGTTATTCTCTGGAGAGAAAGGGACAAGAGGCAAAATAGTGGAATAATAAGACTGCAAATATGAGAAGAAAAAGGCTCTCCGGGGCTTTTTATCAGCTTGTGTGAGGTTTGTCATTTGCTAGCTTAGGAAACTGAAAAGATAGCTGCTAATGCAAGTCATATTCTTTGATGCTCGCTCTTTTAGCACCAATCTGTCAAAGACTGAGGTGTAAAAACAAAACCAGGAAGAAAAATAAAAAGGAGTGAAGTCATCTGGGAAATAGAAAAGAGGAGACACTTGTGTGCTGCAGATGGAGGGTGGATCGCAAAGTTTATAAAAACTCGATGTGTCGACTTACTGTTAGACGCTGTTTGACTAACAAGGGTAGAGTAACAAATGAAACAGACTTGCAAAAAGACAATGTTCAACTATTTAAACACAGAATAAAGTGTACAAATATATAATGTTAGCATGCTTTGTAGTGCATCGTTGAGTCACCTGGAGTGCTTTATGGCCCCTCGGAAGTGTTTCTTAAAAGTTGTGCGCAGAGCAGTTTGCAGCGTGGTTCGTTAGCACGGTCCACGATCAGGGCTGAGCAGTATGTCATGCGGTGAACGCAGTCGCTCCGTGGTGCTAGCCCAAAGCAGATGTGCTCGACATGCTGTACCAAAACCTGAGGCGCGTAAGTCCCCGGCTTTGCTGTGACTAAGAGGCTGCTCTGCGTCCACGTTCCCAGTGTAAGTTAAATCAACGTTGATGAACTGTTCTGCTCTTCTCTTTTACAGGCCAACCCCCCTCCAGTGGTGGTGAACACCGACAGTGTTGACACCCCACCATATGTGAGTACTGCTCTGGTTTTATTCATGTGCACTTTATGTACTCTAATCATGTTGCAAAGAAGAACTCAGTGGTTGCTTTTTTTAAGATTGTTTTTCTGTTTCTTTTGGCCAAACTAAAATGTTTTTAAGGACAAACTTTGGAATTGGCATTCATTTAATAAAAATTACAGAATAATGCTTAATGCTGGAAAAAAAACTAAAGACTTTTGCTGAATATCTTAAAAAGCTGAAAAATAGCCTAAAAGTTGCCTAAAATTTGAATAAAATTTGCTTAAAAAGCAGCTGAAGGAGCTGAAATTAGTAGAAGGAAACAGAAAGAACACATTTGCTGAATTAGGTAATAAGAAGCTAAAATGATCATAAAGACAGATTTAGCTGAAAAAAGCTCAAATTAGCTATAAAGTAGCTAAAACACAGGAAACAGCTGCATTTAGCACAAAGACACAAAAAGAACATGTTTGCTGAATTAAGCATGAAGAAGCTAAAATTATCACAAAGACAGATTAAGCTAAAAAAGAAAGCTCAAATTAGCTAAAAAAATAGCTAAAACATGGAAAAAACTGCACTTAGCACAAAGAACCAGAAAGAACACATTTGCTGAATTAATTACGCAATAAGAAGCTAAAATGATCACAAAGACAGATTTAGCTGAAAAAAGCTCAAATTAGCTATAAAGTAGCTAAAACACAAAAAACAGCTGTAATTAGCACAAAGACAGAAAAAGAACATTTGCTGAATCAAGCAAGAAGAAGCTAAAATCACAAAGACAGATTTAGCTGAAAAAATCTCAAATTAGCTAAAAAGTAGCTAAAACACAAACAGAATCTGATGAAATTATCTCTAAGCAGCTGAAGGAAGCACAAAATAGTTGAAATTCGCAGAAGAATAACAGAACAGGTCAGAATGACAGCTACAAAGGCTGAAAATAGTTAAAATAAGCTAAATTAAACCGAAAAAAGCCGAAAGGAGAGGCAAAAACAGCAAAACTCGAACAAAAGTAGCTACTGTAAAGATCCATGAACGTTTTGAAGGATTTTAAGAACGTTGAAGACGCCTCCAATTATTTTCAATGAGGAAAAATATGGCAGAAAACCGTGCATTATCTCTAAAAGTATAAATGGCTGAAGTGCCAAATTCATAGCGGGAGTGTCCTGAAGGAGCTGAATGTTTTGATATAGAAATGATTGAAATAGCACAAAAAATGTGGCATGAGATGCAGGCCAAAAAATGTACAGAAAAAAAGTTCTCAGTTGTGTGAGTTCTTAACAATAATCACACAATAAAAGGTTTATGTGGACCAATGAGTAGATCAGAAATCACATGTTTACAGTCTGAGGGCAACAGCTTTGCACCACTCAAGCACAAACTTCTGTTTTTGTGAAGAAAACAACAACAACTTCTTAAAATCCTGTCTACATATTTAACTGAATATATTATATTTCAATAGTGGAAACTTTAGTGGTGCACCAGTGTTTTTGAATATTTCTCTTCAATAAGGCAGCATTCTGAAGACAGCAGTGTCCTGGTTTACACTGAACGCTCAGACTGGAATTAGCTGAATCCAGATGTCGTCTTGTAGTAGCCAGCTGTTACAGCGACACGGTGTGTTCTGTTGTTAGATAATTTTATTATGTAATTACTGTGGAAATACTCTCCACTGAATTGGAACCCAATTGAAGTGAGACAGACCCTCTTTTTATTCAGACATCAACGACAATCCCAATATTAACCGTAACTGATGACCGTTCTTTAATCACCCATATAATGACCATAAGGCCAAAATAACGCAAACATTTTTTTCTTTTAAGCCCAGTTAAACTTTAAGATTTCATGTGTTTTAACAATTTAAACGACAAATTATTCTCAAAGCTTTAAGGAGCAGTTTGAATAGGTTTTCATATAATACTGTACACGACAGTTAAAGATGAGCTGCATGTTTGAAACAGCAGAAATAGAAAATCTAAACTAATCAGAGTGTAAAAAAACAGATTACAGCCTGCAGGATTACATGGACCTTTGGGACTCCAGTCCACCAGTGCATTGTGGGTGCATGGACAGTAAAACTGTGCAATCTATCTGAAAGAGAAAAAGGAAAATAAGCAGTCGTCTCTCAGTGCAGACCAAGAGCGATTAAATTCTTTGCAATGTGCTTTCATTCATTCAAACAGGTATTTTTATGTTTCAGAGTGGCTTATGGTAATTTCATAGAAGAGATGCTCTTAAATATGACGTCAGCGATGCATCATCATTAAAGATGTATTACAAGTATAATCCGTCTGATTCATGCAACATTCACAAGTATTGTCCAAAGTCACATTTGCATTATTTGTTGAAACCGGTCGGAACTGATCAGTGCAGAAACAATTAGAAAACTAACTCAGGCTTCAATTGAAAAGGTGGATTGATTTTAACATTGATACCAGTCAAATTAACATAGTTTTATTAATATTTTTGTTCACCTTATAGCCTATATTGTCCTGTACAGTATCTTACATTTTGACTGAGCTGTTAAGTTTTCAGCTGCTTTTAAAAGACATTTTAGTTTGTGGAAAGTGTAAAAATGTTAAGGATATCATAAATGCAATGAGTAAACATATAAACTGGCAGGCTTGTCATCAATAATAAAAATAACATGATGCACAACTATATTTTTATTGAATAGAAAATATTTAATAGGGATTATGCATTTATAAATCTGTCGCAGGGGTAACAATACTTCAGAAAAAAATTCTTTTTTGATTGAGACATAGTAAATATTACTACCACAGAACTTGAAGCCTATAGGAAATATGCTTTTGATAAAATAAGTGGAGATTTTATTAATAATTTATCTTTTTGCTATTGACAGGTCAATGGAACAGAAGCAGACTATGAGTATGAAGAAATCACTCTGGAGCGGGTAAAAACATGCACACCACCCCCAATTTATCTCAATTTGCGCACACACACACACACACACACACACACACACACACACACACACACACACACATATATATATATATATGCCACCGTGGCATTTTATGTGCCCCACGAGAGCTTCAAAGATTTATTGTTTTGAAATAAGCATACATTGTTTTAGAGCTAGCATTGACCATAAACTACATCTCCCATAATGCATGTAGATTATTTTACCCTCGAAACGATGGCATCAAAACTCTACTTGGAGGAGCGCAGGTTTCAAAAGTAGTCAGCAGTCGGCAAATTTCTCCATGTAAAATTTCCTTTTCACCGCATTTTCATCAACTACATTTGCCGCTGCCCAGTTGTACTGGAAAGTGGGAATGTCCCACTTATAAGTCAGAAATTTTAATTAGACTGCCCCCTTCCTGTAGGAAAGTAGAGAGTACAGAATTTACTACAACTCAACAGTGAGCAAAACTCTGTTTTAGTAGTATTTCTGCATTATTTTTTTCACATTTAGTACACACAGTACATTTCAGTTTTTATAAGAGGACTTGTTAAAACGCTGTTTGTATGCAGGAAATACTATGTAGAGCTCAGTGTTTATTAGCAGTGCTTAGCTGTTAAACATGAAACTCTGAAGTTAATTAGAACTGGCCTTTTGAGGGCCACCATAACGCTCATGTGGCTCTTGATGATCGTGATTAGAGCCTTTAAAGATGTTTTTAAAAAAAATGGCAGCTTGTGTGTCACATAATGACGTGCAGCAAATACTTTTCTAATCTTTCAGACAGCTGAACGTTATGAGGGTGCTGCTTTTATTTTTGGCAGTTTAGTTTTAAAAAGATGAGGTAATCTCAGCTGTCATAATCTCTGATTATCTTTCTCTCCCACCGCCGTCTCATCGTTCGCCCTTTCCATTTTTCGAGCTTCTAGTTTGACTCCGCTAAACCCTCTGACTCCTTCCTTTCCCCCCGTCTTGCTCATCGTTACCCTCTTTCCTTCCACTCTTCTCCATCCCCCCCTTTTCTCTCCTCCCCAAGGCTGTCTTTCTGTGTCTTTCCATCGTTCTATTCTCCTGTGACCTGGTTCTGTCTGCTCGACTGAATCTGCTTTAAAGTCACCACGGACACACACGCCACCGCAGCCACACACATTACACAAGCTTTAAAACCCATGACAGAGCGTGAGCGCAGAGCGGAAGAAACACAAAGCAATAGCTGTTAGCAGATAATATGTGACTTCAATTTACACAGCTTATCTGCTGTGGCTAAGACAGGCTTGTTCAAAATGTGTGCGTTTGTTTAAGAAATGATAAACATTAGGCAGATATATTAAGCCTTTAAGTTAGATATTGATAGGTGGTGATAACTGAAATGTGCCGAATCTGTTTTGGCAACAGGAAGTTTAATCCTGTGGACAAATTACTCCAGTGTGATTAACAGCATCTTATGTAACGTACCTCGCTGCGCCCTGTGGCGTGTTTGATTTAGTACAAAAAACCCATGGCACAATGTATTAACAAGCCCCCTTTTTTCAAAGCCTGTGAAATTTATAAAGTTTGCTAACCTTTTTTTTTTCTTTTTATAAAAAAGCAACATTTTTCCTCTTGTTCCTCTCTGTCCTTTTTGTTTTAGCTTCTGTCTTTTTAATATTTCCTTTCAGAAAACCAAATATGCTATGATTCGTAATAAACAATATGGTTCATAACATGCTTTACCCATCTATCAAAATGAGTTCCTTAATGAAGAAAAAGGTTTAAAAAAATTTCTGGTGAATTAGAAGCCTTGCTTTTGGTATATAAGAATATCTTTTGATGCAGACATATTATTGTACTCACTAAAACAATTTTTTTTTCATTTTTGAATGTCTAGTTTTTGACTAATTTAAAGGGATCCCCGATTAGTTGTAACATTCGACTTTATTTAATAAACATATATTTTAACTGGAAAATTAAGACTGTAAAAATAATGTAGGCTGTTAAGTTTTGTAAATTTTTAAAAATATATTTTGCACAGACAGGGCCATTTTATTTACGCACAAAGCATTCTGGGTAAATGATGA